CAATTTTTTTTTACAAGGATAATAGTAACTTATCCTTGTAGTTAATATTACTAAATATATAATTGCTTCGTTGAAATATGAATATGGTCACTTTGTAAAATTTTTTTTCAAATAATTAACTGTGAATTAAATTAGATAATTGATCATTGGAAACTTAATGATTATATTGACTTTCCAAATTATAAAATGCTTTTTGACAAGACCAAACGTATAAATGATAAAAGTAAGGTTAAGCTAATATCAATATCCTTCAAAACAATCAACACGATTCATTCAGTTTGTAATAAAATATTAATTAGTATCTTATTTGATGAAATGTAATGTAAAGGTTTATGGGTTAGGCTAGGGCCTTTCTGCACTGTGACCAGCTTAATCTATTGTGCACCCGTTTATATTTAGATAGTATCTTATTTAATTAAGATATAATTTTATATTTTTTTTGTTAATTACAAAATCTACTGAAATTATTTTGAACACAGATAAAAAACATATTTTTTATTGTTACATCGCTTTTCATGCATTACTGTTTTTTTAAATAATTTTGTTTATATTTATAAAAAATTATATTAAATTATTAAGGTGAAAATGCAAACATCTCCATAAATGTACAGATCGATAATGAAAAAATATATTTATATTGAAACTACGTATATATTTGAAATAACCCCAAAATGTTAATTCAATAATTTTTTTACGAATTTATTACTACTACTATTACTAAATATAGAAAATGTGAGATTAAAATATATTTTATATTAGTACGTTATATATATCATATATAATCCATAGAACAATTAACCGTGTGTTGCATAGAGGAAGTTAACATAAATGGAAAATAAGTAACTTAATTTAGTTAAAACTAGTTTTATTTCAAAATCATGATATTCAAAATATATTTCATAATGTAACTACAATAATTAGGAATATGCAATTTTTTAATATTTTGTAACTCAGTGATAAAATGAAGAGGTCTGAATATAAATGAACCATATACTAGACAATTGCGTCATATGTATAAATGGTGGCCTGTCCACCAAAGTTTTTAGCAACAACTAAAAAACTTATATATAAAATATACACACTTTAAAGACCATGTGGTCCTTTTGAGAATGGGAATCTTTGTCAGCCCCATTTTCCCGTCATCTCTCGCTGCGAGTGCTGAAATAAAGCCTTCCATCTCCTCGCTATACCATTGATACTTGATGAACACAATGAAACAAATCAAGTTAATAATGTCCATTTATTTATCTGTTTGGTGTACTGGAAATGTAATGCAATTTAACACAGATGTTTTTGTGACTTCAGATGAAACAAGTCTACGAATATCGCCCATATATACCGCCCATACAAATTCAATTAATAAAACTAGATCATATGCAGTAATATGTTTGTATAAATAAGTAAATAGTAAATTTAATCAAAAAATAGTTAATATAACAAAACTAACTTAATTTGGTGCTCACGAAATACTCGCGTAAAGTACTAATAAGAGTCTAAAAATATTCACGTTATCCTTAAAAAATCATTAAGTATCGTAAACTACATAAATAAATACTAGCCAACTCTGCTTGAAATTAGATAAAAATAGTGAATTTAAGTTTATATTGAGTACTACCGAGTGTATCGGAAAAATGCAGTGAATGCCATTTCACCGTGAACTGTTATGCATTGTACACTTGTATCTAATCGCACTCTGCTGACGTAAATTGCTGTGTAATTAAAAACGTATTTACAATTAAAAGCAGATTATTTTTTAAAAGTGGTGAAATGTCCTCCTGAAACGGCTGTTTGATGAATGATGATGTCTATGTCTAGTCTGGAATTTTACTGCACGTTTATCGGTGCAATTATTTAAATTGAGTAGTGTCATTGCTTTTAAAACAAACTATTCGCATTGTATATAAGTACATAGATATGTATACATAACTGGTTAAAATTATTTTCAATTAAATTAATCGGTTTTTGCCCATGTTTTTCAACACGATTTCATTTTTGTATCTATTTGATTAATAATTTGTGTGAAAGGTTTTCGTTATTTACAAGCAAAAATTCTTCATTTTAATTTACTACAATAAATTCTATTTTTAAATAATATTTCAATTAAGTGGTTTTCCAAAAATAATTTGATTAAAATAAATTTTATAAACTTTTTGCGCTTAAAGCGTGGTTTATACTTTTCAAACCAAATGAAAATATCTTATCAAAAAATTAAGTGCAAAGCTATATCGATTTTCTGTCAAAAAATATCATGACCCACCAAAATTTGTGTCTTGAAGGCTAACTTGTGCCAGTTAATATGCGTAGTTTTCCACAACAACTTGACAGACATATTGACATGTAAAACGCAATTCCATATTTTTACTCAAAATTTAAACATTTTTCAATTTTCTAAAACTTTCGCACTTTATTGAAGTGGTTGGAAATTGTTCCTGTCAGAGTGCTTGTCAGTAACAAAATCTATCTTTTTGCTTAAGTATTTCCAAAGTATCTCCAAGTATCTCCAAATTATTTGAAAATAAATTTTTTGATTAAATAATTTTGCTGTAACCATGTAATATCCGGTATTAATCATAAACTTTTTTAAAAGTTTACAGCAATATTTGTTCCTTATTCTCATATTATAACATTACCTACTAAAGAAATATCGGAATTCCTCATATCATCTTTATTTGTTGTTATTTAGAGTACAGCACGTACATATGAGTTTTAACTTCTTCGAAATAAAAGTACTCCTTAAATGTACGTACTTCTTCAAGTACTAAAAAATTGAATTAGCCTAACTGATAATTTTTTGCCCTCAAGCCAAGAACTTTTTAACGCAATTTTGGGAGCGTTCACTGGGTAATTGTACTTATTGCATAAAATATTTATACACTCATTATATGCTGCCTATAATATTAATAATATCAATTTCCTCTTTTCAAAAAAGTTTGTTTTTTATCCTAAATACTCGTAATAAAATTGAATTTTATGAACACATAAACAATATTCTCTGAAAGGAAATATAATAATGAATAAAAAGTAAATATATTTTTCAGTTGTGTGTGAATAATAATTTTAGCAGATTTTCTTATTAAAGAATCTTCAAAATGTATTTATTCATCGATATAATAACAAAATATTACTTAAGATTTAAGTAATGTAGCATTTTATGAACTAAATTTGTGTGTCTATCACTATCACTATTGCTTCGACACAAAAGATCAGCCATGGTCCCGGTGCTCCACACCATTGGGAGCTGGTGCCTTGTTTATTTCTATCACAATTGCTTTGCAGGATATTAATTTTAGGTTAGTATTATTTTATTATATATTCAATTCGATATTATCACATTATTTTTATAATAAAACTACACATATTAACTCTATAAAAATAATTTCTATTTTTCTTTATAAGATGATAATAAAAATTATTTGTAAATGTTTTTAAAAGAACTCTTTAAAGCATATTCAACACAGATACCTTACTTAAATAATATCGACAATGTTATTAATTGTTACAATTATTCTTATATCATATTAATTTGAGCATAAAAATCAGTTTGCCGCTTTTTGAAATGGCGTCAATTTTGTTATAATATTTTAACGATGACATTTTTATTATAAATATTTAAAAACATTTTTCAAAACAGTTGCCTTTACTCAATTTATCTGGTTCCATCGTATTGAATAGCTTTATTAAACTTTTGCAAATATTTGGTACAACCTTTCGGGTACAGAAAGGTTTTTTGGGGTACAGAGCCTGGTTGAAAACTGTAACTATACATCAAATGTGAGTTGATGGATACAGTCATTTTACTAGAGTAACTTTGGGTTTTAAGCACAGCGACGACAATAATCCTTCTGTTGATTCTCATTTTCGGTTTACCAGATTTACACATACGATCGGGTACCCCGAATGAAACTCACTCACCACCTTTTGTACTTCAAACAGAATTGATGACGACTACTGGTTTTAATGGTTATTTTGGTTTTAACACAGGAAGATTTTAAACCCCTCTCTTGCGAGGCTATCCTTGGTAACACAGGTCATTTAAACAATAGCGGATGTTCAATTGGTAGGTGAAGGCGAAAACTTCTCAAGCTGTTCATTTAAATAGCAAATTTGTTGCTTCGGGTCAATGAAACATGAAAGTTCCATATATGATGGCATTTATGAGGCGAAGAATTAGGTTCTGAAAATGGACCTTTTCGATGGAGTACTGCACAAGAAATAATAGAACTCATTGTCATGAAATATCAAATGAACAAATCAAAAACCAAACTGTAAATCCACAACTTAACGTCAAATAGTTCAATAAGGTAGGCTACACTTAGAAATAAAGAAAGGATTTTAAGTTGTTATACAGAAAATCAAACACAATCTCAAAATTTTATTCACTGTTATAACACTAAAAACTATAAATGGGTTATTTTACTTTCAACGGGGTTTTCAATGGGTTTGTTAAGTATAGCTATTTTGAAAGTTATTTAGAATCTATGTAAATCAGTATGATTGCAAACCTGATATCACCTTATATATATGCATGCTTACTAACAGAATGTCTGAATCTAGATCCAAACGTATTACTTTTTTTATTTGCTAGCTGGAACGAGACGTTCAAATGTGGGGATATGTACAATAAATCAATATGTTGGATAGAAGACCTAACAGTTGTTATGAATGAAGGACGTAGTGCGTTGTAACCACTTTTAGTATTTTATTTTATTTTTTTTATATTTTAGCAATGATCTGTTCACCTTGCTAATTAATAAAACTCTAAAAATTTTCAATGTTAATAAACTTTTATTCAACTTTTTACAGAGAGAAAAATCAGAACGTTCTCATCAATCAAAACAAAAACTTAAAAATATTTGAAATTGAATTTTACTTTTTAAATTCAATAAATGCACAGCCAACTGGGTCGCCACAGTACCCCCTCCTAGCGATGGAGTACTAGCAACAACGCGACACCACAACTAAGTCGACAACACCACTCTTAATCACGAAATTCCGCTAACCTTGCTGGGAAACGCACTACTCTACCAGCTCGTGTCACTTTCGGAATCGGCAACAGGGATTCACGCCTACAATCACCAGAAGTCACTAACTGATCACCATTCAACAGCGCTGAAGGCTGACGCGTTTCTGGAACAACCTGTTCAAGATCATCACACGTTAAGTACGCCGCCTTCAACCTATCATTCGAAACAGTCACCTCTCTTCCACGGCAAACAATAACAGACGTCTTCTCACTACGACTCAGCACCTCAAATGGACCTTCGTAAGGCTGCTCAAGTGGAGCTCGAGCACGATCCACTCGAAGAAAAACGTGCTTACAATTAATAACGTCACGCGGAACATACACAGATGGATGACAATGTCTTGTTGATTCAACGGATTTAACCTTAGCTAAAGCCCTTCGCAACGCCGACACAAAATCAGTCTCGGACGACTTCTGCTTGAAATCCGAAAGCATCTGCCCTGGAACACAAAGAGGATTTCCAAACAACATCTCTGAAGGACTAGCATTTAGGTCTAGTTTCGGTGTCGTTCGCAATCCCAACAACACAAGCGGAAGAGACTGCGTCCAATTACTTGAGGAATGACATCGAATGGCTGCCTTCAATGTTCTATGGAAACGTTCAACCATGCCATTTGCTTGAGGATGATAAGCCGTGGTATGAAAGTGTTTCACTCCAAGCAATCTCGTCAGTTCCCGAAATACAGCAGACTCAAACTGCCAACCCAAATCAGTGGTAATAGCCTGCGGAGAACCAAAACTTGCCACCCAACCGTCGATAAAAGCCGCTGCAACTTCTTCTGCCGTAATGCCCGACAGAGGCACAGCAACAGGCCACCGAGAAAAACGATCGACGCAAGTCAAACAATAACGCTTCCCCTGAGACAAAGGCAATGGACCCACAATGTCAACATGAACATGCTGGAACCGACTATCAATATCAGCAAACGAACCAATTGGTGTTTTAGTATGCCGCTGAATCTTGGACTTCTGACACGCAATGCAACTACGCACAAACACAGCTACATCCTTAACCAAACCAAGCCAAACATACCTAGCCTGCACCAATTTCCGCGTTGCTCGAATACCAGGATGAGCCAAACCGTGGAGTTTTGAGAGTACCAGCTGCCGACAGTTTGCGGGAACAAAAGGACGAACACGACTGCCTGACACATCACAGTACAGTTCAATACTCGAATCCGGCAATCTCAACTTCTTCAACCCAACACCATCTTCAGACTGGCTCTTCAGCTGAGCGAGCAACTCTGCATCAGTCTTCTGCCCCTCAGCAATTAACTCAATAACATTTGCCTCCAACTGAACCGTAGCAACCCGAGACAAAGAGTCAGCCACCGTATTATCTGCACCAGCCAGATGACGAATATCAGTGCAATACTGACTAATAAACTCCAGCTGTCTTGCACGACGAGGAGATGCCTTCTCACTTATTTGCCTGAACGCAAACGTTAAAGGTTTGTGATCCGTAAAAATGACGAAATCACGTCCCTCTAATGCATACTTAAAATGCTGGACAGCTTGATAGATAGCAGTCAACTCACGATCATAAGCACTATACTTAGTCTGCGCTGGACTCAAACCTTTTGAATAAAATGCCAATGGCTGAGTCACACCTTTCACTACTTGTTGGAGAACAGCACCCACCGCAACGTCTGAAGCATCAGTCGTGAGCGTCAATTGTGCATCCAGAGCCATGAAGTTAAGCAACGTAGCTTGGGCAAGATCATTCTTGCAAGCCTCAAAAACCTCTACATCTTCTGGAGTCCAAGAAATCACCGACTTATCATTCTTGCGGTTACCTGGTGTAAGATGAAACAACCGCTGCTGATTCTGCACAGCGTTACGCAGAAACGGCCGATAAAAGTTCACCATGCCTAAGAATTGTCTAAGCTGTTTAACCGTTGCTGGCAGAGGAAAATCACGAACAGCTTGAACTTTACTCTCCGGAGGACGTAAACCCTTTGCACTAATAACGTGCCCAAGGAACTCGATCTCGGAACAGCCGAACTTACACTTGGCAAAATTCACGGTCAAACCAGTTTCTCTAAGTCGATCTAAAACCAGTCGCAAATGCATTCTGTGTTCTGCTTCATCTTTTGACGCAATTAAAATATCGTCGATGTACGCAAAAACGAAATTAAGATCACCTAGAGTCTCATTCATAAAACGCTGAAACGTCTGGGCAGCATTACGGAGACCGAAAGTCATAAAGCGAAACTCGAACAGGCCAAACGGAGTTGTAATAGCTGTCTTCGGAATGTCTGCCAGTGCAAGCGGTATCTGATGATACGCTTTCTGCAAATCTATCTTCGAAAACATAGTTTTACCATGAAGAATACTCGTCACATCATGAATGAACGGAATCGGATACCGATCAGGTTTAGTTTGCGCATTGAGCATGCGATAATCGCCACACGGTCTCCAACTTCCATCGCCTTTGCGAACCATGTGAAGTGGACTTGCCCAACAGCTTTTCGAAGGTTGACAAATCCCTGTCTGGACTAAAAATTGGAATTCCTTCTTGGCTTCTTCAAGTTTGGCTCCAACTAAACGTCGGGGACGAGCAAATGACGGCGCACCAAATGTCTCGATGCAATGTTCAACCTTAGTAACTAAACCCATCCGATTTGCACTCATAATGCCTAAATCACGGTATTCATTAACCAGCTCAGCATAAGCTGAAACTGAACCACACACACGCACAGTATCTTCTTGAGACACAGCAGCCTTACCCTTCATCATCAAAGTCGTCTTCGAATCAACTAACCGCTTCCTTTTCAAATCCACTAACAAATCATAGTGATTAAGGAAGTCGGCTCCAACAATAGGACAGCTAACATCCGCAATCACGAACGTCCACGGGAAATCTCTACGCAAACCCAAAGACAAAAGCAGTCGACGCTCGCCAAATGTTTGAATAGGCGTACCATTAGCGGCATATAAATTAACTGATGCAACACTGTTAGCCCTTTGCTTCCAACGACAGAACGACTTCGGTAAAACTGATATGTCCGCACCAGTATCAATGAGAAAAACGGTCGACGTGGCGGGATCTTTAATACTAAGTCGAGCTATACGAACACTAACCCCTTCTCGGCTCGACGACGTAGAAGGAGTGCCTAGTTTTTTGACTGATGAGAGCTTGCCACAAAACTACAGGGCTGCCGACAAGCATTAGCTCTATCACCGAACCTTTCGTGATACCAGCACCAATCTGGATGACTTCCTGGTCGGGAACGAGTTCGCCTACGTCTCCTCGATGACGATCGACTTTGCACCGACTCACTACGACGTAAATCCAAACGACTCAGACGCTGTTCGATTTGCTCAAGTCTTCGTAAAATCACAGCATTCTCAGAATAGGCTGGACAATCAGAGGCTGACGCTACAGCTATCTGTTGAAAATCACCCGCCTCGCAAATACGATCTGCTAATTTCGCCAGTTCTGCTAGTGCCACGTTCGATGCCTGCAGAATAGCGCGCACTTGTGGTGGCAAACGCTTCAGCCAAAGAGACTTAAGGAACTCATCGCTCACCTTGTCTTTAGCTAACGCTGTCAACTCCGTTAGCAACTGTGTTGGGCGTCTATCACCAAGTTCAACTTCTGACAACAACCGTTGAATCTTCCGCTGCTCGCTCTCACTGTACCGCTCTATGATGCAAGCCTTTAAATTAGCGTATCTTCCAGTTTCAGGAGGATGAAGCACTGCATCACTTACATCGGCGATAACACTTGACTCAATCGCTGCTACAACCGTGTTGAACTGTGTGATGTCACTCGTAATGGCAGCTACTGCGAATTGCGCCTCGATCTGAGCAAACCAAATCTCCGGTCGCTCGTGCCAAAACGGTGGCACCTT